TCTAACACAATCAGTATCAGGTAGAGTAATATGGACTTGTGCTTCTTATCCGAGTATAATGCCATGGATTACGCTGACTGATATTTCAATGTTTTTCACATCTTGATAACTGCAAAAGGAAGATAATCATTAATGGTYATTACTAATATTGTATTGATGAGCAAAAACACCTATGGGGGTGGGGGAGGGTTCTTCRACAAATTTGTACAACTAAACACATTAAAATGTTTTCGAAATTGCAATTTACAAAAAGTTTAAAACACATCTCCGTTAGCTAATAATGAGTTCGAAATAGAAATAAAACGAAGCAGAACCCTAAACACTAGAAACCAAAAGCGAAGCCATCTTGGTMGTCACGTGTTCCGTTCCCTTCGATGATAAAACATTGAGAAACGCGGTAAAAATAAAATAATTCTTACCAGTCATGACTGTTGWWYRTTCTTTGCTATTTTAGGATAAATATTACTCCAATAAAACTGATTTTACTGTAAGGTTTAGCTTGAAATATSGAAGACATTTTCTTCACGAAAAAACGTGGTCTTCGAGGTGCGAATATGCAAATAGGAACAAGACCGAGATAGACTGGGAACTGGATACACCCGCGAGTATCCGCGGGAAACGTTTTTTTCATTTCCGTTATTTTCTTCACTTTCATTTTTTTATTTTTAACATCCTATATCTATATTTCTCCCTCAATTTACTAATTCGTATTTTTCCTATCATTTTAGCGCTCGTCTCACCGACGCAACCCAGAGTCCGGCCGGTCTCGGTGTCGTATGTGAGTAGAGTCGTTTGCTGGTTCTCTCCTGTGCTTCAAGGGTTTTCCGTGTTATCCGGTWTTCCTCCCTACTCAAAAATCAACTTCTAAATCCAAATTCTAAATTCTAAATCGATTTAGAAAGGGCCTAGATAAAACTTAYAAAAGATACCCTATTAAATTGTGTAGTAATAATTATACTGTTTAATTCTTCGTATAAATTTGCTTTATGATTTCTTTTAGCTTCCTTTATTGAGGATGCATTGATGACTGGTAAGTTCTTTTTTGATGATTAACATGCATACAGAACAAAAAGAAAGGTAAGTAAACCCTTTGTTTTTCGTTACCTATGTCATTCTTTTCTAACACTCATTCGTTCCTGATAATTAACGTACATGCACGTTCTTTAAAGATGCGATGAGCGTTCTTTCCTGGTCATGCGCATTCATTCCTAGTGATGCGTATTCATTCCTAGTGATGCACATTCATTCCTAGTGATG